AACACTGCATGGGGTTCGGCACATATGGGCGGACTTCTAGTGCGTAAAAGGCTGCTTTAATTTTCCGTGGTACTTGGGATCTATTGAATGTTAATATTAGGCTTGACGTCTCAATAAATTTGTCGTCTTTCCTTTTATATATCCTTTTCACCTCGACGACTCCTTCATTTTCAAGTTCCGTTAAGATTTCTTGGATGGAGCAGTTTAATAAATCTGAACATGTGATCACACCTTTGCAAAAGTTTAACGTTCTGTGTGGTTTAACTCTAACAATATGTGGTCCAAGTCGTTCCATTTTCATCAGTCGCTTCGCCTGTGGGTCGGTTGCCGCTTCTAAAATCAATCCTTCTTTCGATTTCTTTATATTTTTTAAATTTCCTACGACTCCTTGCAATTGCTTTGCAATGAGGAAGGGGCTCACTTTACTGAAGTTTTCCCCATCCAACCTTTCCATTACTAGGAACCGAGGGACATGTCCCGCCTTTTCCCAGTTAAACGGATCCTCTCTCCTTGCGGTTTCTCTCCAAGGGGCAGATTCACCTGCTCTTACCGCGTCACATGTTAAGTTGCCCCCCCCCAGAATCCGTGGGGCTTTTTATACTACAGGATTCTGAGCTCTCCTGAACTCTACCTGCCTGGGGTACCACTCCTTGTGCGTTGCTTAACATGACCATAATTCCCCTGTGTCGTAGGGGATACACGCCTCTTTAACGTGGAAGACACGGGGCCGTTAGGGACACACTTATGTAGTGCCATCCATCCCCTCAGCACGGCCAACACCTTGGGATTACCGGGCGAAGTGGGGGGCAAGGAGAGAAGGTATGGAAATGACAAGGATGGGTTATGGGTCTACTCGAGCCGACGTGGGGCTGAGAAAAAGACCGAGGAGTCGGCATATGCCGCCCCCTCCACCAGTCCCACGCCGACCCGAGTGTAAAAAGGATGAAGGTAGTGGACAGATGGTCGGGCGCCGGCTGTACGGTCTTCGACACTACCGTAGCAACAGGACACCACCAGGCGCAGCGACGCTACGAAGGTGGTAATCCTACGGCATGTTCCAGCAACAATCCTGCTAGGTAACGCACAGGAATGCTACAGGAAGACACCGATAGTTGGCCGGACGGCCTTTATTATTATTATTATTATTATTGTTATTATTATTATTATTATTATTATTATTATTATTATTATTATTATTATTCTATAACAGTGACTGTGATTGCACATATTCACTGTCATATTGGCGCGTTCTATCGCGGACAAAGCCGCTTACTTGTACGACTGGTTGCAGGGACAGGAAACGGAAATTCCCTTAAATTTTGGATTTCGTGATGTAAGCAAATATGGGCAAACCGTTGCTTACCTAAGTCGACCAATATTTGTTACTTTCAGTTTTGAATACAAGGATAACTTTATTGTCACATGCCAAATCGTTTAGTCAATATTAAATTAGGTGTGGTTCTACTTTCAATATCGACACAGGTGACTAAGCTAATATAGTTTAAAGTAATTAGACACAAATACCGAAGCGGTAATTATGTTAAACCGGTGGATTAAGCTCAACGAATGCTATGATATTGTCAGATAGGCTTGAAAAATGAATCTCAATCAAGTAGTCTGGCCGAATCAAATCACATAGATGTTTTAATTTCTGTTTGAGTACGACGTCCATCAATTAAAACATATGAATATGTGGTTTGAATTAGTCAAACAATGGAGTCCCATGAATACACAAAAACCACAGGACAAGTTTTAGGAGTAACATCGATAAAGTTTCCATCGCAAAATAAATTTAGGTACTCATAAGTGCTTTAATAATACTACCAAATAATTTAGCATTAGTGCTGGAAATCAAGAGACAATATTATCATGATGGAACTATCACCGGTGCTTCAAGTATAGAAATCCGAGTAAAGTTTGTCACCAGGTGAGGTTTGATCTCTGAAGGCTTTTAACATTCCAACTTATTAGACGGGAGTAGGAAAGCTTAGTACATCACATGAATCAACTCAAAAGTAAAATAGGAAACTTAGCAACTGGAGGTGTGCGGTGTGCCTCCAAAATAGCTTTCATAATAAGAATTTAAGATGCTGACAATATATAAAAATATTGATTTGCCAGTGTTCTAAATCCTATATGCAATCGTTCAGATATTCACCTGTCACAATAATCAGTGGTTTTGGTACACATTACTCAATGAATTTTGGGTATTTTTATCTGAGAGGAATGAGTATGCAACGGCTGAAAGAACTGTATCATACACGAGTGTTCTTTCCTGAGAGAAAAAATGGCATCAAGTAGGTTGGCTCTGCACTTCGCTCCGAGAAAGAAGTTAGCTAGAAGATGTATGAAAAGAAATTGGAGGAATAAAAAAGGACAATACAGTTAGTTCCTGTCACCGCCCATATCACAACGTGGCGTATCTAGAAGTCTTTTCTCTGCCCTACTGGCAGTACTGACCATCTGAAAACGTTGCTATGACTAAATATCGCACACAATATGTATACCTGTCTTCGTTTGTTGTATTTGACGCGGGTGTTGAAAATATTTCTCTGTATAATTAAAGCTTTAAGTGAAAATGTAGGGTGGAATATATCTAATAGGCGCGTAAAATCGCGAAGATTTGAAGCGTACTAATATAATAATGATACAAATTGAGACATATCCGAATTCTTCTTCGAAGTTCTCAAAATGAGAGTCCCTAATATGGCAAAATAACGATCTTTTCTTTTCGCCGCAATTGAATCAATTTAAAGAGGCCTCCAAAGCGTCTTTTATTTGACGTAACAATAGCCTCGTTTCAACATTTTATTAAAATCCTAGCTGTATTCCCCCAGATGGGCCAAGGATTAGCAGACAGACAGATTGACAGACAGAAAGACTGATAGAAATGAGTGGCTTAGTTTTTCGTGATGCCGTACATGTCATGTAACACCTCAAGAAATTGGTATTATCATTTTCGAAATATTTCGCGATTACAATACTGCAACAAAGATACCTTTTTGACTATTTAAAGTCTAATTTATTACCATGTCGACTAGACTATCGCGCCTCGCGCTGCTGACTTATCAACGACTCTACTCTGCTGCCGGTGCGTATTTATTTGAAATCGACGAATTCCAGATGGATCCTCGTGCCTTTGTAGAAGTTGTCTGGATGGCAGTCAGTGTTTCTCGATAGGTGTCGAACGCTCTCGATGATGCCGCGAACGGTCTCGATGTTCTGGTTGCCTAAGAGCCGATCTACGAGAATGTTTCACAAAGGTCTAGTTACGAAGGCAGTACTATAATACCTCCTCGGGAAGTAGAATGAATCCTTAGGGTGTGCGAGCCAGTAAACAAAATGAAACAATTTCGGTACAGCATTCCCGTCACGAAAGTTCGACAGCAATGAACGGAAATTAGGTGTTAGTGCGCTATTTTTCCAAGTGGATTTTTATGACGACGTTTTTTTGTCAAGATGGCTTCCCCTTATTGATTTGGATATAATTGTTAGATGAATTTGCATAAAAGAATATTGAAATGCAGCTGAATAGTGTATATTTCGTAGATAATTTGTCACAATTAACGGAAAATTAAATTAAGAAGCGGTAGACACGGTGCAAATTCATGCAAAGCCGACAATCATATTTTATATAAGGATAGACTGGAGGGATTTTTGTTTCTTCCCAAAACAAGGAATTCTTGTCCGACACAGAAGTTCGAAAGGAAGTGTTATCAAATGACGATTGCGCGAAGAAAGTACTTTTTTCAGTCTTGTGACATGAAAGCCTCACAGAACCATAGAATTGAGATAATGAACGCTCGTGTTTGTGCTGCAAATACAGATAATAAGAAAAGGTATACTTACATGCATTTGGTGATGTAACGGTGAAACCAAAACAAATAATCACAACCACCACATCACACAAAAGTGCGCCCTAATTCCCAAGCAACATAATTTGGGAATAGATATATTTTTGTATTCTCTGACGATTATTATTTACGCAATTGCGGATTCTGGCAGATGACACTCGAGCTGTCGTATTTCCATCAATTTTAACATCAGTATTTGTTACACCACATTTTGCTAAATCAGTTGAATTTTAAATATAGTCAAAATCATGAAAGATGACTATTACGTCATACCATAAATTGTACTGAAGTAATCAATGGACGTACGTCGATGATAAAATCACGATGTCAGGAACATAGTTACAAAAAATTAATATTCTGATTTTCCGAAGTTAGGTAATTTCACTGATTATTTTTATTTTCATTTTATTTCGTGGTTTTGAGTGATACCTTAATAATAATTTTAGTGGGGAGTTTTTGTTTTGAAAAAAAAACAGTTATGTATACAATACCTTAAGACAGGAACACCACAGTATTATTCGAAAACAACCTAACTTGCTGCGGTGGCCGCAGTAGTAGACTCTCTCGCTGTGCGGGTTCGAATCCCGTCCCAGGAGAAATTTTTCCCTTGGCTATGGATGTGGTGATTGTCCGTAGGTGGTAAATGGTCTCTGACTGTCGGAAGCGGAGGTACCACCCGGCGGATCTCGTAGGCGAAGCCAGAATGTGTGCATGTTGCAGGCACACGTGTTGCCTCGCCAGAGTCCGTGTGGCGTTCCCCCTTACCCCTGTATCCCCCTATAGCCCCACGGTACCCAATGGGTGTTTAGGCCTTAGGCCTTCGTGGTAGTTGGTGTATAAAAAAAAGAAAACCTAACTATTCATCTTTCAAATATGATCGATCATGCAACATGAAAACATCGTCTATCTTTGTCGGATACATGCAACTCAGCATTACAGCTTGTTTAGACAGTAAATCTGTTTGTCTCTGTCTAACAAATCTGAAACTTCATTAAAAATATTCACAAATCGCTGTTAGTCTTTACTACAGACTAAAGTGATGACGTAATCGCCATCTTTCATGATTTCGACTATAATCATAAAATTGCATGCACCTTAGAATTGTACTAGAAGTATATAGTAGTATAATATTTGTTGAAGTCAAACTTACCCAAGGCTAAGGAGATTCTGGACTCTGGCAGAGTACGCGTCTCTGTCTGAGAAGATAGCAGGATTTGATGATCTGATAGAGAAGTAGTTTTCGATGGCACTTTTCGTTTTATCTTGCGAGTAGTAACATGCGTGGAGGAACAGAATAATGTACTCGTCGGAAATTTCTGGAAGGTGAGGTTGTGTGGCCATCCTGAAAATGGGAGAGAGAAATTAAAGTGTGAGGTTGACCATAAAGATAGTAATAACTGGAGAATATTGCATTTATCGTAAGGATTAAGCTCTGTGAGCATATTATCTATAATTAAACATTATATTATTTATGTAAGATCGTGAAAATATGGCGGTCCACGCCCCGATCTTAGGGTTGTTCTGCTTAACAAGAACCTAATTTATAACTCCTTGACTGAAAAACGAGATCCTAATTAGGGCTGCTTCTGCACAATTTAAACCATCCCTCATAGGTACATTCCCGGAAACAAAGATTGTTATCATGTTTGATCACGTGCGCAGGATTTGTAAGTAAAAAGAAGAATCATCATTCACTCTCATATGCTGAATCTGTTAATCGAGCCGTTTGAATTGACCAATCAGCGTCAAGCTGTCCGGTCCGGCTTTCGAGCCACAAGAATCCGTAGCCCAGTCGAGCTAAGACATTGTGTGATAGTAATGCCGTTGCAACTTTCTGACACAATCATCACGGGTCATCCTGTATAAGAGTCTTTGCGTGGACGCTTATACAGGGTAACCCGTCTATGTAAATGTGATATGAATTTTCTCATGAACGAGAATGCCAATCTCCGAAAAAAACACAGTTCAATACCTTGAGCATAATATGCCACCTTGATTGACTAATTCCTAAAGAATGAAGTACACCTGTTACGAATACTAAATATTGTCCGACTCTACACTACACTGATTATGCATCGTACTATAGAGGTATAGGAAATGACAGCATTCGTTAAGTTGTTTTTGTACTGTATTAGAATTTGCAATGAAACGAAAATCTGTAATTAAATAATGAGAACTTTTTGACGTATTTCAGGCAGAAATATAAACATCGAGAATGTTATTCTTGATTTTTAAATTACATGATCCTTAATTTCTGTATAGACGTATGGATTTTACCGAGATTAAGTACTATTTTTCTCCCGGATATTGACAATCTTCCAAATTGCATGGAATTATTTTGAATGCGGGTGTAGGAAAACATATAGTACCGCTGTATCTGCCTGATTCCGAACAAAAATAACTCATTATGATTTCATTGTCGTATTAGCATTTTCTAAGAAAATTTGAATATTTGTTAGGAACCGTCAATGACGTTAACTATCCATTGAAAATTCAGTTACATAGGTTGCTTGATGAGATCATTCGACTAAAAGTAGGTCACAGATAAAAGTGAATCACACTGTAGATACGAAGTTTATTTATTCCTGAAGAAATGCAAACAACCCTATTAGTATTATAAATGCGAAGGTATATGTGTTGTAGGTGTATGTTTTGTTTTCAGGCCAAAAGGGCTGAACCGGTTTCGATGAATTTAGGCACAGGTATAGATCAGACCTTAGAGATGGACATACACACCTATAGCTTACCTTTTATTGCGAATATAAAAGTTTTTGGGGTTAAGTTAGGGATACGTATAAATATGGGTTTTTTATATTTGGTTCTTTGTTGTAATGTAAATGAGCAGGTTGAAAGAAATTTTGGAAATTATACGCTTAATAAAAATAAAGTGTGAACATTCTTGCAGCCAAAGAACATTGCATATTTCAAGTTAGACCATCCTAGGGTTGGAGGTATGTTTTGTCTATAATTTCATCCTTAAAATAAAAAAAAAATGATAAATAATTCCATAAATTATGTCCTTGAGGTGAGGCAGGAGGGTGTTGAATATTTCAACGGTAAACCTTATCATTCGTTTAGTTAAGTTTATAGAAATGTATGTCGAAAACTATTTGATATATAAACACAAAATTTATTAGGAAAGTTCTGGATATATCCGCTCGGAACGGATTTTGCGACAGGGCCGAATTAAGGGGGGTTAAGGTATATATATATATATATAAAAGCGTAAATATCTGCAATCATTAATCACGAAATCTAGAAAACTGACCTAAGAATGTAAAATGACAGGGCATGAACGGCCGTTATCGAAAAGATGCACATTAATCATGAAATTTCGGAAACAATTTGACCTACCTATGGACATGAAATTCGCTAGAGAAACTTTATGGACAGAAAATGTCAGCTAAGAACGGATTTTACGTCTGGGTTGGAATAAGGGGGAGCTAAGGGCAAATACATACATAAAAGTGAAGCGATCCTAACACATGAGTCACGAAACATCGAAAACTATTTGACCCATGGACATGAGATTTGATAGAGGATAGCTTATGATCAGAGCATATCAGCTGAGAATAGATCTTACGACAGGGCCGGGTGGAAGGGGGATAGAGGCATTTACAAGTTTGTACGAAAGTTCTTTGTTTTTCTACTAGGAACCTAGAATTTAGTAGGAACGTAGTTTAAAGAGTTAACAGCGGATTTCGTGACAGGAACCATTCAAGAGGTTTGAAGGGTACTCTCGAGCTTAAAATCTTTGGATTTGTTTGGCTAGACATCCAAAGCTGGCAATGATGAGTTTTCTTAGAGTAAACTTGAGCTAAGAATGGATTTTGTGACATGAGAGAAAGCGAGTTCAAGGATTTTCTAACTACAGACTAGACAGGTATTTCTACAATCTAAAATTTTGTTTAACCTGTCTGATTATTTTATCAATTTTATGCAAACGCAGTGTCGAGTAGCTTGTACTATAATCAGCATATTATAAATATTCCACTGGGCACATGCAGGCAATCCCAGCTGCAAAGATTGTTTAGTAATCTATTGGAAGCAAGAACTTTTTGATTGTGGCTAAGTGTTTTGCTCAGCTTAGAAAATTACCGCTTTTCAAAAGCAGATTTTCGTTTGACATTTAAGTTGATTGAAGTTGTGTTATTGTCAGTGATTCCGCTTTCCACTTTAATTTACATTATCACTATTTTTCATTATTGCGTTGAGTCACTTATGTTTGTTTCTGGAATACATCTTTATGTCTGGAGTCTTCTAAAAAATTACATTTATGCCACCAAATCAAACACTGTGGACAAGCTGAAAAGCAACATTTGGGAAGTTATCGGAAATATTCCTTCCGCAACCCACCAGAAGTCGTGGAAAACGCAAAACAGAGAGCTCAGATTTGTGCGGCAATCAGGGGTTATTCAACTTCTGTCAATGAAATATTGAGATATGTTAATGGATCTATTTCACTTTATTTTGAAAATATCGAAGAAACAGATCGTCAGTTATATATTGGCATATCTCAACTAAAGCTCAATAGTTCTTTGAAACTGGATTAGCCTGGATATGGACCAGTCATTTTCAACACAACAAAACGTGGTGAATACTTACGGAAAAAGGGAGAATGCTTCTGAAAGCGAAATGGAATGTGCTCCAGCTAATGTCGTTGCTACAGCAACAAACATTACCTTAAAGTTACAACCCGTTAGATAAGAGACAGGGACTTTAAAAACAGAATAAGCTGTTTGGGGGCTTTGTGTGAATGGATTGAGGATTGCTTTAGGGTAGTTTTTAAAAAACAATAATATGTGATTACAGTTGCTAACACTTTGAATGACGTTTTCGATTCAATTTCTGTCAACATGTACATCGTTGTACCTACTAGATCAATTTCGGTAGTAATTTACCAATTACGTACCTATTATCTATGTTAACAATGTCATATGAGAGTATCTATTGAGCAAGTTGTATTTACGTATATGAATTGGTACATTAAATAATAATTGCAGATTAAGACCGAGAAAAAAGCATTAAGTCGCAAAACTACGTACGGGTATATCAAAATTATATTAGCTGTTTCACTTCCATTAATGAATTCTTTATTACTTTCACCGAGTCTGTAACGCTACAATTAATTTTTTGTATCGTTACAGTAACCTCTATTCATTTGCTACTAATTGGTGAATACCTTTAAATACTCGCGATATTATTGACGTACGCCGAATGAAAAAAATGATTGCTAATATAGAACTGCGTGTCAGTAGCAACATATTATGGTGTATAGGTATACAATAGTATGGGACCTCATTCATCATATCTTCACTGATACAAAAGTAGCGTATCATACAATTTTGGGCATTCGAATAGGGCGACAAATGTGTTGGATGCAATGGATCATGGTATACAAACTAAGTCTTTCGGCCTGGATGTAACACAGATTTCATGTTGATCGTATATATGAAACTTGTTGCATTTAAAGTTTGCAGTTTTGGATTTTTTTCTCACAACTCACACATCTTCGAATATTCAACTCCGTATTTTTATGTGAACGCATGGCCACACCACTTTCTACTTAAAATCTACAAAAAGGCACTATGGCACAAAACTTATATGTTTCGTGGTTCAAGTCTCATCATAATTGAGTATTGATTTATTTTAACTTTTGTTTTTATTTTTCTAAAATAAACTGAAGATTTTTCGTTTTTTTTTTTCGTTCGTTTATATACAGCAGCAACTTACAGCTATGATAAATAAACAAAAATAATAAATATGATGCTTATTCTAATTGATTGAACAAGAAATTCATCTCTGTAAGTTAAATAAAGTTAAGTTTTAACCAACTAGAGAAAAAAAAACGAAAGTTCATTTGTCTATTAGGTACATAGAAACACATAAAGCCTAAGGACTAACATATAATTGTAGTTGAATAAGTAAAAGTTCTCAAAGTTGAAATAATTCGCATAATTTGTAGATATAAGATCTGTCGAAGTTTAAAAAATATCGATAAAGCTCTATTTCATACAGTTATGGTTATTTGTCGATGCAAATGCCTTTCATCTTGTATTGGAAATAGTATTAATTAACAGTGTTGATATTCATTCAGTCGAAGTTATTCTAAGTACAGTAAAACGTTTTTTAAAGCAATGTGATGCTCAAGTCTATCAAATGTTCGCAAAAACCTAATGGAACAGTTGTTTGCCAGTACTGCAATGTTTGCCAATGGTATGCCTGTATAACACTGACGCAATTTTCTAGAAAAAACATTGAGCAGTTTATAGACTATTTTTCTAAAAAGTACCATTACTGTTTGTTCAATAGATATCAATTATATTGCAATATTATGTATAGTTATGAAAATGTCAATTCTGAAAAACAATTTAGGAGATAATGATGTATCACTGTTAGTTGTTATGCTCCCATTTGCTGACCAATTTTACTTATAATTATTTTATGGCCATCATCGCTTAGAAAGTATGTTGTCGTAAACTTGTGGAATAAATCAATTATCATAAACTGGCATTTATATAACTGAATCTACTTACTTTATCTTGAAAATGAGACAGGGAGCAATAAATGCTCGTTATGCATGCAAATCCCCAATAGGGACGGCAAAATAAAGGCATATGTTTCTCCATTATACCTAATGGTATACAATTTAGATATTTTTCGGTTACCTTGTCAAAGGGTTTGTAAGTTTAGGAAACAATAGGAAAGAAAAGACATTTCCGACCCTAAATCAATCAATAAAAGCTCATAATGCCTAATGCTTATTCCATATTATTTAAGGATTATAATTTACTGTCACAATAGAACTGGATATTTTACTGCACCCGAAACAAAATAAAATGTTTGAAATACTAATGCGTTACCTAATAATATCTACTTAATCATTATTATAATTAGATAGATATAACTTTATAATATAATAACTATATAAGAAATTAAACCAATGATAATATATGATAGGATATGAGCAATGAATATATAAATATTTAAATACATTTTGGTACATTTACATGGTAATTGAAAATATTGATTCATAGTGAATAATTTTCGGTGTTCCCAGTCTGATGGCTCTGGTGAGCTAACGTCATAGCCAGAGGCTGTACACACCTTCCGTTCTTCTGTCAATGTGTGTTCTAAACATTTACGCCATTTTTTTGAGTTACTCTATTTACTACTTTTCCAATAAGAGCCTCTACATCTGTCATATTAGATGTGGTATTTCTAATAGCTACTAGACCTTTGACTTGAGCCCACAATTATTCAATGGGATTGAGTTCGCAGTGATAAGGCGGTGAATGAAGAAGAATGTTTTCAGCAATATCTCCAATGATCCAATGACGCACTTAATAAATTTATGTTTGTGAAAAATTACTCTAGCCAGTAACTCTTTTTTCGCCATTTGAAGATCAATGCCTATATGCCTATCCAACAACCACTTGATAATATCATCTTTCATCCAAGATATAAGTGTTTATTCTATTCTTCACGAGTGGTAACTGGTATTGCCCATTACTATGACTGATCGTGGCGGGGTTTTAATTAAATTTAATCAAATGTATTGTGAAAGATACATTATGAAAAATTAAAACCATGCAGCCACTCCTAATACAGTTTGTACAATTGTGACAAGTTGAAGGCACGTATTTTATATAACAATATTATCCAACATTTATTACCTTTTTCTTCACACCCTCTCCACGCATGAGTGACAACTCAGTATTTTATAGCTGCCAAATGACACTAATTTTTGTCGGATCATCAACATGCACCGAAAACATATATACTTTGGTTCTACGAAATGACGCTTTTAAGCGCAGGATATTTTTACTGCTACAAAGGCGTAGCCAGCAACATTCGGTAATATTCTTCGTAAGGCCCGGCTATACCTCTGCACATGATACTTCCTATTTTCAGATTGCGGAATTATTGGAATTAATGTAAAGTAAAAGTAAGGTAGCTCAAAGCGCCATCTATCGCTCCAGAATCGACCACTGTGGAAAGTGCACAGCTGCTATTAGTTGGAACGGTTATGGATCTGACCTCGCGTTTAATAGTCGTGCCGCTAGATGGCTGAAAGTAGATGTGGTCTACTTGCCATTGGATAAATTAGGAAGGCATCATGCTTAATGTAAAGTAAGCTGTCGCGATGCGTTTAGATACGTCAGTTATTCTTACCTGATTTTGTAGCCCTGTAGATAAGTGTCTGTCTATACAGGGTGACTCTGAAGTTGAGTCATTAATTTTCAGATAATGATTGTAGAAGGAAGATGAACCAAAACATGTGTGTAAAAATAAAAAAAAAAATAAAAAATGTTACCTTGTTTTATAAAGTATCCTCCCGTACAAGTATTTCAGTGCGGACCTGTATTTGATCGTGCGGTCTTGGAGCACCGGCATGCCCTCCCCTGTGAGGTCTTAAGTCACCTGATTCACGAGCCCTTTGTACTACATTAACAAAGGTACAAGGGGTTGGTTGCACTCGATTGGGAAACCGATTCGCATAAATCCGTGATGCCGCGGCAGCATTTTGTAAAGACTCCCCCCCCGTAAATAAGAATCATGTCCACAAGTTCAGCATTTTCGTAAATATGTGCCATTTTTTATTTCGTTTGAGCCACGTAACAAACACCACTATTCACTCACGCGTTACCCCACTGACACATTGACTGACATCGCGATAAACGTTTCAAATTCTTTCGCTTTTTTGTTTCCGATGCGATGAAACGATAAGGCGGATTATATCCGTTATTGCCAAACACGAGCACATAATATTATTATTGAGACAGGGCGGTACTCAAACTTCTAAAGGGCTATAACTTTGTTAATTTAATTTTACCAGAAAAATGTTAAAGGAAAAAAAACATTTCTTTTGATCAGATCTACTCACTGTTAAAATAAATGACTCAACTTCGAAAAGTATTGACACACCCTATTTTTTTTCTTGAATTTCAATAACCAAAGGTTTAACTTATTGCTACTAAATTGAATTTTGATGGCTTTTTTAGTGGGGTAAATTGTTGACACTTTCCAACGCTCGTTCTCGAGTTACATGCTCCGATATCGAACATGATACTCAAGTGTTAGTGAAGTACTGAAGTCAATCCATTGTTTTACCATCCACTAATGTCCTTCACTTGGCATTCGCTCCTCTAGAGAGATATATAGTATATAGGCGTAGGAAAATAGCAGTCATTAGGCAAGTGGAGACTGTAATGTGGATATTATTATCGTAACTAACCATAAGGAATGTGTTACAAAGATATTCAAATGTCATTATTTTTGTAAAATAAATAATCGAAAGTTCATAATATACTTAATTAGTGTTAATGGAATTATTGGTAGTATTGATTGAAAATAACCAAGGTGAAATATGTACAGAGTGGTTGGTCCAACTGTGCCTTGTTCCGTATTATTTCCTTTCTTCAGTAAGCTTGACACTGCTGGCAATATTTTATTAGTATATTTTGATCATGTAACAATAGCCCGAATACATAACATAGTTGCTTTAGAGGCATTCAGGTTTCTGAATGTAATTCATTCTTCTCTATATTGGTTATCTCCCAAGCGTGAGAAAAATATATCAGTTCCATAGTAAGTATCAAAGTATTTTAAATACACCAGGATTATGTTTTTTTCAAATTACATCCAGCATGGCTTTTTGTGCTTTATAAATAACATAATGAATATCGTTGGACAAGTCGAGGTGTACCAAACTTAGGCCTGCTTAATCTGCGACCTTAAACTTTTTAAGCCTATGTGAGACTTATTAGTAGCGCTAGAAGGAAATGACTGCAGTAATTGTTAAAGCTCTGCAGTTTATGGGACGAAGGCTGAAACCTCGCATTTTACTTGGACGTAGGGATTTTCAATAGTTTTTAGAAATCAAGGAGTTATTTTTGAATGTTTTGTTGCCCTGTATGGCAGCTGATACACCACATATTTCAGGTTACTTTAGCGATGTAAGCATGCAAATATTGGGAGATTCAGACGCTGAAATTGTATGCCTCTCGTGTATGGTTCTAAACTGATTCCTAGAGTCATGCCGGTTGGATTCACTACTCCAGGTTTTCATATTTTGATCGTTGTTTTCTAGCATCCCAGGCGTTGTAATTTGAAGGTCTTCAGAGGGTGTGTAAATGTATGCACATCACATGCTTCCTCATCAGATTTTCAGTTGTTCACTCTTATCCGCGAAATGGTCAAATTATTTCCACGTTACAATTTAGTTTTTTACAAAACGCGAAGTTTCGCTGAAATTTGAGTTCACTACAGATTAGAGAAGGATGTTTCCAACAATGTGGAAAATGTAGGCTTGGATTGGCATAACTAGGGTTCTATATAAAGTGAGCCAAACTTAACTAGACAATTTATAATGACGTTACTCATTTTGGAACTTTTATGTTCTAGAGGCCGTAAATGATGATACCTAAATGGCATTAATGTCTGTATATCGCGGTATCTGTTTTCTACCGGTTGTACATCTGAAAGCAAATACTAAATGCAGTTTTTGATACCTCATTATTATGAGTATAAATCAGTTATCCGCTAAAACTGTTTTTTTGTTTATATCCACTATCTTAAGAGCATGAGACTTTCTCCGTTCATGTCGTTAATAGCAACTATACTTTTATGAAATTAGCATAACAAATTTGGGGTCACCAGTTTTGGCAAATATTAAGACCCATACCATTGATTCAATGGGCAAAACTGTGCGAGGCAGCCACTTCAATACCGCGTATTGCAAAAACGAAAGAGTATGATTTAACAATAAACTTTCTAACCATCAGACAATATTCATTGTTTAGTCTGCAATAATCCGACGTTCGTCGTAACTTTCTCGGTACGTATCAGTTCTTCACTGGCAGCAGCAATGCGAACATTTTTATAACACACTTATTTAGGCCACAAGCAAATCATTGTAGGTTGTTAATAGAGACATTCACAATGCGGGTTATTTAAGTAGACACATATTTAAATATAATGTATGTCACTATTAAAATTACGTCCCATTTCACTTCTCATAAGCAAGGAAAGTGCTGTACACCAGACAGGTAAACAAGTTAATTTGATTTTTATGACATCTGATTCACGTAATATCCATATCGCTTATTTTTGTCTGTTTGTAGTCCTGTCTGCTGGTCTGTCTCTTGGAGAATTTTGTAAGATTCGATTTGATAGCCATGGAAGTTAAAGTGTTGTTCCGCTCGGTGACAGAGAAGGTAGACAGCGACTGTTCCGAGTCTGAAACCTATTCGCGAGAATAGAGGCATAGTACAGATACTTTATTAATAAGACTTGTTACGCCATCAGTGGCTTTGTGAATATTTAGATGTTCTCTTTTTGTATTGTTTGTTATCCACTTATTGTTTGTCCTTTTATACATAAATTTTTATATTGTATTTCTGTTAATTTACTAATTTTGACTGCTGGAGAGCTTATCTATTTTATCTGCTGTTGTTAGCCTATGGTGTCCTTTTTAAAATATCTAATTTAAGCTATTGTTTGTTGTTGCTTGTCATTTTACTGTTTGTTTTTTTATGTATATACATACTGTAAATTGTTTGCTGACGAACCCTATAGATGTTTTATACATGTCTAATGGGTAATAATAATAATTTATTATTATTATTATTATAAAATCTGTTACTGCCGCTGCGTGTTACGCCTACTGGCGGGAAGGATTGCAATCACGAAAATTTTCGAAAGTGCAATATTAAGATTTTTGGATGTTATATGACATGTACATGGCGAATAATTAGGTCACTCATTTCCGTCTGTCTGTCTGTCTCTGGGTCTGTCCACTAATTCTATAACCGCCTATAACTAGAGAAGTAGGTACCGATCAGATTTTGATGAAATTGTCTACTTTTACTATGCCAAGGACCACAAAGCTGCAGTTTTTGAAAATCGGTTCAATAGCGACGGAGAAAAGGATCAAAAACGAAAAAAAAAGCTCGAACTTCGTTTTATCACATTTCAGTGGATCCTGATCACTTTTCAAAAAGTTAAAAAATCTAGGGCTGTGAGTTGTAGTGTGTATCATAAATTTCTCCGTATATTAGCACTTGAAACTTGGAAACATATTCTCAGTGCGTTGCGTGGGAAGTGCAGGGTCGACCCGGCGGTATATTAAACTTTTAGATCCTCGAAGATGAAGTTGACTTCAATTTGCAGATTTTTCTAATTTATGATAATAATTTTTGAGAATAGTAGGGATCTTATTGAATATTTTATAAGCTTTGATTTTATCCATTTTCCAAATTTCTGTTTAGCTTAGAAGTCGCAGAACTTGAGATCTAATATGCCTCACTTTTTGAACTGCATATGTCAATAATGATGCTAACGAATATTTTACTTTTTCTTGCAGAGCCATGCATATGAATGTGGGAGATGATGAATCAATTTATAACTATCAGCATATTGTAGTTACGGTAGTAAAACACACTGTACATCGAATCGTTCATAGCTCAACAACCAGACATCAAAACGCTATAGCATTCCATTTAACGCAAGTTTTCAAAATTTATCATTTCCTACTACACATGCAGATAGACCGTTACAAAAGAAGAAGGCTGATATAAAATACCATAAGCCTTTGATGATTATAGTCAACGCCAAACAAAGTGGCGTGCACGTCATCACGATAAAAATTCCCCGACCTAATGCCTAGGTTTCTATCACAAACAATTGCTCTATTGCAGTTTCATATTAATGTGATATATAAATTGTAAAATGGTCATTACTCTCTTATTATGGTTAATAGTCATATAAACATTGTTATTAAAATATCACATAAGTTGCTTTCTGATAAATTTAGACGCATTATGCGAAATAAAATGTTTTGCAAACGCTCCAATCACTTATCGACATGTAAACGCACTAAACCGATTTCGCAGCGTTGACACATTGTCACCTTGAAACTTATTTAAACTGGGAACTGACATTTGTATTAATTTTGACACTGAATCAATTTGTGGCATTTCAAATCTTTATAAATCCTTTGGCCCCGCATACTGTAAATCAACAACTGTTTGTTTCAAAACAAAATTATTCATTTTACGAGTAGATAAAGGCAATTTTGGTTTATAAAGATGCCCAAACAGTTAAATAGTCGGTGTAAGGAACTCGTGGCCTCGTTAATGCACTACTTTGAGCAAGTAAGGGACAACAACGGGCCTTTGTTGCCTTTAAATGCTGTTCAAGAGGTAGGTTACTAATAATTATATGTAATGTATATTAATAATAGTGAAATTTTATTTCATTTTTTGTAGCGTGTTGCTGCTGCTTTAAAAATTAGTTTAAGGACAGTTAGTCGTATTTCCGAGGGTGTGAAAAGTGATGCAAATTTAGAATCGCCCAAGAAAAAGCGGAGTTATATTAAACGTGTAACCAACACAGCGACATTGGATACAAGTGCCATTCGAGAAGTGATCTATAATATGTATCACAAAAGTAAGATCTTATTATAATAACTTATCAGAAATTTGCATTAATTTGTTAACTAAATTATGTCATATTACACATGGTTTCAGAAGAACAAGTTACGATACAAACTTTATGGTCTCGATTAAGAGATAGGGCATTATTTGATGGTAGTGCCACGTCTTTAAGGCGGTTGCTTAGAGATCTTGGATTTAAGTGGCTTAAGGACAATCCGCGACGAGGGCTCATGGAACTACCAAGTATAGCTTTGAAAAGGGTGGAATTTCTAAGGCAATACAATCAAGCCAAGGTTGAGGCCTTACACCAGTTTGTCTTCCTCGATGAAACTTGGATATTTCAAAATGGGACCATAGGTCGTTCTTGGCAAAATGGAAACCAAAAAAGCGTGAAAGCTATTAAAACAGTGAAGCGATATTTTCTTCGAAAACAAAATTGAGCGATTACCATGGAGAGATGAACCAGGACAATTTTTTGAAATGGTTTCAACATCAGTTATTAGAAAAATTGGAGAGTCCATCTATGATTATACTGGATAACGCCCCTTATCACAGAATGATATTGAACAAAGTGCCCAACAATGCATGGACAAAAAAAAATATCCAAGACTGGTTGACAAATCAAAACATACCATTTTTAAACACAATGTTTAAAACAGAGCTATTGAGTATTGTTGC